AGCCGCCGCCGTTGCTGCCGCCGCCTCCCGCAAAGCCAACCCGTCCCCTGCTAGCCCCAACGGGAACCTCAGCCCCGGAGCCGCGGGCGGACCGAGAGCCACAATGGTGGCTCCCCCTGGTAGCGGAGGAGGAGCCCCCCCTGGAGGAAGTGGCACCAGGTACGCTTGAGCAAAAGGCGCTGGTTTCTCTGAGTGAGGAAGGGGGTCCGGGCGGAAAAGGCTGAAAGGGAAGGGCTGTCTGTAGTCGCGCTCCCGCCCCAAAAGGGTTGACGGGAGGACTCGGCCGGGTGGGGGAAAGGAGTATGTGCGGTTCCGATAAGCGGAGTTAGTCTGCTTTGCCGTTGATTGGGTGCCGCTGTACTCAGCGTACGCCCTGTCGGGAGCGGAAGACGGATGCCGCTTGACTTGGTCCCCTGCGTAGAATCTCCGCCCGTCATCCATCTCTGGCGTGTGCGATTTAGGAAAGGCTGCGTGCGGGTCTCCTCGTCTTCTCCCTTTCGAAAAGGAAGGAGGGGACGATCCCTCATGGGCTGAGTTGCACTCCTTGTCATGGAGCAGAATTTGACTACTTGGGATGGATGAATTTAGCCTGCAATTGAGCATCTGAACTATATTTTCTCAGAAGCAAATTGAGTTGACTTTCTTGCACTCTGTTGTATAATCCAACGTACTGAAAGGCGCCATAAACAACTATCAGACTGGGACCTTTCAGGCATAGCAACGTCTGAGCTGTCTTGTTCTGCTTAATTAAAAGAGCTTGCTTATACAGTATATGAGCAGTGATGCCTTCTAGAAATGAGTTTTGTCCAGTGTGCTACTTAAAGGATTTTTTTTTTTAAATTCAGTAGCCTAGTAGATAAATTCAACTTGATCAGCCATTTACAACTGGCAAGCTTGTACTTAATGTTATTCATTTCAGTTAGTATGGCATTTGAGACAGTGTTCATGTTAGCCACTAAAATAATCTGAAAAGAATTTCTAGTTTAGGGAAGAGCAGGATATTTTCTGAGCCATGCATCTATAAGGGTGAACAAGATCATGGGATTTTTTTTTTTTTTAGGTTGAGGTCTTTTTCCCAGGAGTTAAGGACTTTTTGTGATCATTCTGATTATGATAGACAGCAGGGCATAGCAATGAAGGAGCTCATCATCATATTTAATATAGAGAGCTCCTTTTGCTATTCTGATTGAATTATCACCTAATCATCTCCCATTTATTTTAAATTTGCTAGGGAATTTTGATGAATTGTGCAAAATTTCATTCTGAATTTAGGTAAAGTAATTTAGAAAGCTTAAAAATAATGGATATGAGGCAATACAAATCCATTTTAAGCTTTTCATACACTGAGAAAATTCTTGGGTAGATGTGCCAATAATCCAATTTGTGTCCATTGAAGCAAAAACCAACTTTTATATGTTTGTAAAGGATGAGTTTTCATGTATAGTATGTGCATTGATTTTTCTGAAAGTTGTCCCCATATGGAAAGGAAACCATGCTTTTGTTAGCTGAATTAGGAAGTCTCTGTTTAATTATTTTGGTAGTAAAATATGGGGTTCTTGTTAGTGGTTAGAGCTCCTATGAATTAGATTAATAAAGAGTGATGAATTTACTGGTTTGAAGAGTTTACATTTTGGAGATTGCATTATTTTCTTACTGATTACGTTTGCATCTGATTTACTTTCAGGGGCCAGAGTACAGGCAAAGGACCTCCACAGTCTCCTGTAAGTACTAAGCTGGAGTATAAGCCATTTTGGATTGTCATATCTAATCTATATGATTTGTGTAACTGTTAGATGACATTTGAGCTTTCCACTACCAGGCTTTGACAATAAATATACAGGTAGTCCTCGACTTACAACCATTCGTTTAATGACCATTCAAAGTTACAACAGTGCTGGAAAAAGTGACTTACAACCAACCGTTCCTCACTCTTACAACTGTTGCAGTGTCCTGCAGTCATGTGATCACCATTTGCGACCTTCTCAGCTGCCTTCCGACGAGCAAAGTCAATGGGGAAGCTGGCAGGGAAGGTCACAAGTCATGGTCACGTGATGTCTTGTTTAATAACTGCACCGCTTAATGACAAATGTTCTGGTCCCTATTGTGGTCATAAGTCGAGGACTACCTGTATCTGCTAGCAGGCTTCAGTTCTTAGGACTATAACTGTACCCCCAACCTAAGAATATGGTAAAAGACTGTCCCTAGAATATTATGTATCTGCTATGACTACAGTAAAACTGTTTCGGTGTCTTTGTGTTATATTTGCATTATATTTCTTTCACTGGCAATTCCTGTAACAGTAGCAAAGTATAAATAGTATCTGGAGTAAAATAATTTAATAAATTTAGTTCAAAACTTATTAAATTAAAAAACTTTATTAATTTAAAAAACTTGTAATGCTAAAATACCTGTAGATTTTCAGCATAATATCATTTGACTGTTGTTGAGTTGCAGAGAAGTCTGCTTCTAACTAGTTACCAGTGGAAAACTCTTTTTTTTTTTTCTGAATTTGCAACTTGTAAGATTATTGGAGTTAAATCATTGAAAGGCACAAGTTTTATTTTGAAAAAGAAACTAAAGTGTATTTTTCACACCAACTTGTGTCATAAGCCACATGATTTTTATTTATTTTGTGACATAAATATTTGGGTGCTTCAATATTTAGGTACTGAATTGTGGTGGAAATCCCAATATAATGTTCAGTTTCAACTATAGACCCTCTAACCAAAATAGATGGGAAGTAGTAACACCGCTTGATCCTGTGCCAAGCCTCCTATATACTAACATTTATGAAAGAAGCTCCTTACTGAGAGAATAAATGACATAACAGCTATTTAGGACATTTGTTATAACTGATGTTTACTTTTCTGGAGTCTTTCAGTTGCCTACCTAATGCTGTAACATTGGGCAATGGATGCTTATAAATGTCTTGGTGACACTTATTTTTCCATCCCCCCAGGCTTTTGAGGGTGTTTATAACAATTCCCGAATGCTGCACTTTCTAACAGCAGTTGTGGTGAGTCTCCTGGGGATAAATTAAGGATATAGGACTGCAAAGGTAGATATACAGGTGCATGTTTATGTGGTGGAAGGTACATGGTGGATTTCCTTTCAATACTTAGATTTCATGTGGTTGTCCTGCATGAAGTGTTGAGCATTTGTGTTTATATAGGCATTGCTTACATGACACACTGATCCACGTTGTAATTTGGTTTATGGTATTCTTTGAATTCAGATCCTCATGTTAAGGACTTCAGTCCCAGATACTCTGTTTTGTGTTAATTTTAAAATGGCAACCAATGAAAAAATTGCAAGGTTGTCAACCAAAGGAGGGTGGGAGGCTGACAAAGGCTAATAGTTTGGGGCATGTCCTCTGGATGTGTGCCTTAAGAATGGTTTGTGCTAAGTGTTGTGCAAATGAGTCAGGGTTTTCTCTTGAATTTCTTCAGTTTACTTTGCTTTATTTTAACAGCACTTCCAAACTGATTGATGCTCGGTGTATGTTTGGGGGTTAGGGGCAGAGAGGTTTCAGTTTGCAATTTGAAGTATCCCTGTATCCTTTCTTTAGTATTCCTTCCATTTGGTTCTCTTCCCAGGGATCAACATGTGATGTGAAAGTGAAAAGTGGAAGCACATTTGAAGGAATTTTTAAGACCTTGAGTTCTAAGGTGAATACTTTTTTTGCTGACTAGTTTTGTTCAGGTGTTAGGGAGCAGGTCCAATGAAGTATTTAGCTTAATTGTACTTAAAGTTAAGTATTTAGCTTTATTTTACATTAAAACTTACGATGCGGGCAAACATCCTTTCCCCCCAAACTCCACAAAGCTTGTTTAAGCAGCCTGTTAGTATGAGATGACAAGAGTGAATATCTGGCAATGGGTAAGTGCTTAGTGACCAGTGAGTTGTGATATAGTGTGTTTTTGGATTTACGTGGTTTTATATAGTAGGAATAGGCAGTCTGTATTAATTAAGATTGTTTTTACAGTTTGAGCTGGCTGTGGACGCTGTGCACAGGAAGGTGCCCGATCAGCCAGTAGGGCCAAGGAGGGAGGATATTGTAGACACTATGGTTTTCAAGCCTGCTGATGTCATGTTAGTGCACTTCCGCAATGTTGACTTTAACTACGCCACCAAAGGTAATACAGCCTTAAAATATCAGAATTAAGGTGTGATGGAGTCGGGAGGAGTGGGGGAGAACTTGAATCCTTTCTATCCTGACCTTTCCTTCTGTTCTGTGTCTTAGATAAGTTCACAGATTCCGCCATTGCCATGAATTCTAAGGTGAACGGGGAGCACAAAGAGAAAATACTACAACGCTGGGAAGGGGGAGATAGCAACAGTGATGATTATGACTTAGAATCAGATATGGTAAGTAACTGGTATGGCTTGAGTCCCCAAAATAGAATTACTTAGGGCTGCTGCAGCATTAGTGGTGCTTTGCTAAACTTTGTGACAGCAAAGGCATTGAAGCATTTATCTGTTATTTCAGTCTAATGGCTGGGACCCAAATGAGATGTTCAAATTCAACGAGGAAAATTACGGTGTGAAGACAACATATGATAGCAGTCTGTCATCATATACGTAAGTTAAGGGTTTAGCTATGTATATGTGTGAGGGTTCAGGGGAGAGAGCAGTTGATGATAACTGTACCATTCAGGGACTGTTCTATAGGCTATTGGAGTAGAAAGGTAGGCTCTAGATTGTTTCTGTTTCTTTTTCACTTAATAAATAAGGGTTGGTTGACATATCAGGACTTCTGCTAGTCCTTTCAAGGCTTTGATTAGTTGGCAGAAATCAGTGGGTAAAGAAAGAACAATAGACTGATCGTCAAGGCAATTCAGAGGTAGTCATCTCAACCCTTTGAATATCCAACTGTCAGTATTTATGAGTAATTTCATCCTCTCCCTACTCTCAGTTCCATCTATTTATCATGGGTTGTTGGTGGCTACTTTAGAAAATAAAGTCCTGGTACCACTTAGAAACAGTGAAAGTTCATGCTGTTTTTCTAAGATGAGACATTTTATGCCCAGTGGAATATTAGACTAAAATTTAATTGCTGCCCTTGCATTATCTGTATTTGAGGGTGGGATTCCAGGAGTCAGTTTGGTTTAGTTTGGACTATAAACTGGGAGACCATGAGTTTTAGTTCTCTCTCGGGATGGGATGGAAGCCGGCTGGGTGACTTTGGAGCAGTAACACACTCTTGCCCAGTCCACCTCACAGGGCTGTTGTTATGGGGAAAATATAAGGAGAGCATTATGTACACCTTGAATTGTACAAAATAGAGATGAGATATAAATCTAGTAAATAATAATGATGAATACAGCGAATATTAGACCACATGCAGGATGGTCACTTTGGACATCTACTTCTAACCAATTTAGTTGTACTTTATTAGAGTTAATATGCAGCTTGGTTCACTACATTGCTAGGGTTTTTTTTTAATACTTCTAAATTCACAGTATACAGAATTGGCAGAATCCCGTACTTGATTTTTCCGTGTATCCATAAATACGTTCTCAATCCATCGTTATTTCCTTTTGTAGTAAGCAACATTATGTAAAGCATAGAAAAATAGCAAGGAGTAATGGACAAAAAACATTAAAGCAAGAAGTAAGAGAAAAGAAAATATAACTAAACCTAGTTTACATAAACATTACTCGTTATTAACTCTTCAAACATTTCTACGCTTGCAGGCCATCCTTGCTTTCTTTGCATCTGTACATCATTTTATGTATTCCCTTTGTTCTTTAGATTTCTCCCCTCTTTTTTTGAGGATCCATCCAGCTCATGACTTTCTCAGTCTTCCCCTACAACCATTCACTCTTCCTTTATAGATTTTTTTTTAATTTGATCCTCACTCATTCTCTCTATACATCTAAGCCACCTCAGTGTGCTGCTTCCATTGCTCATTTTTGTATTAAGTCCGCCTGTTCATTCTTGACCCTATCTTTTTGTTTTACTACACTCAGATGTCTTTTGACGAACATTTATTCCTCTCAGCAGATGTAGCAGACTATATATTATCCATCTTTTTATTGGCATTTATACATCTTAATGTTTTCCTATCCATGTCCCCCTCTTTAGGGAAAGATATACTCCTTGCTCTTATATTTTGCCATTTATGTGTAACATGCAGTGGTCATTCAGTTTTTCCCTTAGACTCTCAGCCAACAAAATGGCACTGTCTGCAAACAAAAGTAAATGTACATTCATGTCTTCAACCAACCCTAATATGACCATTTCAGTTCCACCTTTGACTATATTGTTATTCCCATTTAAATGTTTTAAGTACTCTTTCCAGAATTCATTAATTTTGGTTTTATCTCAATATGGCCAGTTCATACTGTTTGACATATTTTAGTTCTTTTGTTCATAATTAAACCTACAACTTTACTTCATACACACATTCATCAACTTCACCCCACAAAATCAAATCATTTATATCATTCCCTCTTTTTTTAGTTTCACAAATACAGCATACCTAATTTTCTTCATTTAATTAGTTAATTTATATTATTTATGGTTTATCCCTCTTACATTCCAAGTCAGAATCTTATTTCATGATCATCAGCAAATGACCCCATCAATATAGACTTCCAGTACCTGTTACAGCTTTGATCATTCAAAGCTTTCACATAACACTTTTTTATATTAAAAAAAAAAGAAGAGTAAATTGGGTTACGAGCTGTTGTCTCTATTAACGGTAAGAATTTTACTGGTCAGTTTGGGCACATTTTAGCCAGTATGTTATCAATACAGTACAACCAAAATCTGATTTCACCCCAAACGCAATGTGTGCATTTATCCAGTAAGTAATAAGTGTTGTCCAGAGCTTGATTAGTTCTGGATCTGAAATTTACAAACTCTGGGAACTCCACTCAAAAACCTTGAATTGTTGGGATCTGAGATGTCTTTCACCATGTTAGAAACTGAGAGGTGTTGGTGCTTCTACAATAAAACAAGTTTGTGTTCTTGTTCTTTTGAAAGGATAGATCAGTAAAATTGTTTGCTGATTGTATTTCCTTTTTTTCCCCCCTCTTCCACTGGCCCATCTTTTCATGATAGAGTCCCTCTTGAGAAAGATAACACAGAGGCATTTCGGCAACGAGAGGCCAGAGCTGCCCAACTGGCACGAGAAATTGAGTCAAGCCCACAGTATAGACTGCGTATTGCCATGGAAAATGATGATGGGCGCACAGAAGAAGAGAAGCACAGTTCAGTGCAAAGACAAGTGTCTGGAAGAGATAGTCCCAGTTTGGCTTCCAGGTAAGTTTGCAGTATTGGTGAAGAGGATAAAAATATGTATTTAACTCCATTTTAATATCAGTGTCTTTGTATTTTATAATTGGTATGTTAGCTGTTTTGCATAGCTCAGGCAGCATTTGTTAGGGTGACTCAGAAATGTAATAAAAAATAATGTTTGAACAGCAGTATGCCTTCTCTAGTATAGAACAAGTACTATTTGTGGCTGGTTTACACTATGTATTTGGAGAGGAAATAACATTAAGGTCCCACTGTGACTTGGAAACTTGCTCGCCTGTTGATTGCCAATCTCTTTGCTTCAGATGTTCCCTTGCATTTTACATTCAACTTCTTGAATTAGAAAAGTTATGGCGATTTCCCTCCTTATTGTTCTTGGAAATTACTCTGCCACTGTGTTTTTCTCTTTGCAGAGAGGGCAAATATATACCACTTCCCCAGCGTGTCAGAGAAGGTTCCAGAGGAGGCATACGCTGCAGTAGTTCTAGAGGAGGGAGGCCAGGCATGGGCTCTTTACCACCCCGTGGGAGTTCACATCATTCAGAAAGCAACACTGGCTCTGTTCCAGAGCAACGAGGCATCAATGGAGGTGAGGCTGAGCATCTCAGGCTTAAAAATGGAGATATTTGAATGGATTGATACAATCGCTAATGAGGCAGAAATGCCTTGGTAGACTCAGTTGTCCCATCTGATTATGAAATCTCATATGATTTTGTTTTCCCTGTTTCTTGTCTACATCAGGATATAATTTTATGTGGTAAAGGATAGGATGAAAAGTCACAGGGAGGTTTGTTCTACATTACTTTTTTCTCTAAAGCAGTGCTTCTCAAACTTTTTTCTCCAAGGATCCCTTCACACTTTTGAAAATTATGGAGGACCCCAAAAGAGCTTTTATTTGTATGGGTTATATTTACCAATATTTACCATATTAAAAGTTAAAATCATTGCATTTGCTGCTGCTACCATTACTCATGATTGTTTGATGGGATTTTAATATTGTATTATTTTTATAGGCTGGCAAATAATTTTGCTTTTGAAGGCACCTGAGAGAGTCTGGGGGACCCCCAGGGGTTCTAGGACCACACTTTAAGAAACACTGCTCTAAAGGGAAATGCATTTTGAAATGAAATTGAGAAAGTTGAAAAAAGTGCTTGTAGAAGAGAAAGAGAATCATGTGATAGCCAAAACTGACATGGGCAACTTAAGGGAAACATTGGAAGATCATGTGAATGGATTACAGCAGTAAAAAGTCAATTAGGGAAGAGTCAGGGGTTGAAGGGTTCGTTAGAAACTATTGACTAATGGAGTAGAGATCCTATGGGGAAGTAAGGGATTTATCTATGTGCCATGCAGAAATTCTTGCGTGTTCCACAAAAGTGCAAGACATTAAATTCTAAATTATTTAAAAAGAAATGAAGTAATAATGACAATTACAGGTAGTCCTTGCTTAACAACCCTAATTGGGAGTGGAATTTCTGTTGTTAAGTGAAGCAGTCATTAGGTAAAACATCACTTCACTGCTTAGCAACAGCAGTTCCAGCAGTCTTGGTTGCAGTCCTTAGGCAAGGTTCTTATGCTTCTCCTGTCCTGCTGCGCTTGCTTCCACTTCAAATTCCCCTCCCACCATTTCTGCCTTTTTGGCCTCGCAAAAGGCTGGCAGCTGCCTTGGCCAGGTGCAGTTCATCAGCAGCGGGGGAGAAGAAGATGGCAAAGGTCAACTGAGGGTGGCACCAGCAGAGTGGCCAAAAGGGCAGAGATGGGGGAGTTGAAGTGCACGCTATGGTTGTAAATGCAGGTGGGCTGTCAAGCACCCGAATTTTGATCAGGTGACCACAGGAGTGCTGCAACAGCTGTAACTTTGAGGACTGGCTGTAACTGCCATTCGTTCAGCACCATTGTAACTTTGAAGGGTCGCTGAACGAATGGTCATTAAACAAGAACTACTTGTACCACCAATACAAATTAACTTTGGGTTTTTTACTTCCTTGAATGAGGAAATAATTGAGATGTAAGTAGTAGTAGTAGTAGTAGTAGTAGTAGTATACATTCAATTTATTCTCCGCCCATCTCTCCCAATGGGGAACTCTGGGCGGAGTCCCTAGGCCACCACGTCCCACATATGAATGATCATCTGCCTTCATTGCAATTTCAAGCCAGCAAGATAGCAGGGCACACTATAAATTGATGGGTAGAAGGGCAAGTTGGGGCAGAAGGTATGCACAGGTTGAAATCACAAAGTGTATCAGACCATCAGCAGTGGAAGGTCAGCATATGCGCTGGAGAACAATAACTGAACAAAAGGAAGGATAGCAGCATTGAAAGATAAAGAAAATGTGTAACTAAAGCTGGAGTGACATACTTCATAGTGTGTGGGATTAGAAAATGAGTTCTGATTTGAAGGAATGAAAAAGAAAGGAAGAGGATGTAGTGGCAAATGGGAGAAATTAGGTTTGAAGCCTCAACAGACATTGAAATGCCTCAGAAAAACGTTATCTGAGGCTAATTACTGGCTCTTGAAATAGTCCTCGCTGCCATTGTCACATTGCATTGTTGGTCTTCACAAAGTGCCTACAGTGAAAGTGCTTGCTGAAAATCCAGGAGAAGCAGCGCAATACCAATGACATCATCACTCAGTGTAGCTGTGCCTGAAACAGCCCTCTACCCTGCCACCAATCTCGTGCTCACCTTCAGTTGATCCAGCTCAGTCTTGCTGTGCCACAACCTGGAACCAGGCCAGTTGCATCCCATCAAGACTCCTTGTGACCTTTCCCTTCACTCGCCTCCCTTCTCTGGATAGGGTGCAGAATTTCATGCCTCTTCCCATTTGTCCCTTATATTTGTACATACTGTAGGGTTAGTCATCTACCCACAGGCATTAGTTTGCCTCTTATAGATAGGTCACCACAGAACAAGGATTCCTGTTGGATGTCTTGGCTTAGTTAACCACCGTTCTATTTTTTTAAATTTCTTTGTTAGTCTGAATTTATAAATGCCAGTTGCAACCAGCTAACTGCTAATCTCATTGGTGTTTTCATTGTTTGCCAGTAAGGGAGACCTGTAGATGTCAAAGGAACATTTGGTGTGTGTGTGTGTCTGGCTTTGATTCATCACCACCTGTGGTTGCTTTGTTCTAGGCCCATCCAGAATGTCTCCAAAGTCTCAACGACCCAATCGAGGGGCCAAGAGTATGTCTTCCCCGACCAGTCGACCCATGGAAGTCTCCACTGCATCTCCTACAGGTAAAAGAGAAAATAAGCAGCAAATCTGATGGCTTTTTGTGAGACCCTTGATTTAAAAAAACAGCTTCATATAGTACTTAATATCTAAAGCATCTTTGCTGTTATTGTATAGTGGGCCGTCTCTATGCTCCACGTTCACCGAAGTCTGCCTCAGCTGTTCCAGTTTCTTCCCAAGATCCCCCTGTGGGACCAGCTATCCCTATTGCTCCTGCATCACCTTCTGAGTCAAGGCCTACCATGGAATCTAGTGCTTCCCCAACCCCACCTTCACCTAAGGTCCCAGCATCTGTCCCAGTAGCTGCTGTTGAAGGTAAATACTTAAACTGGGGGCAACATGAAATTGAGCAAACTCCAGGAGGCAGTGAAGGACAGGAAGCCCTGGCACAATATGGTTCATGGGGTCACAAAGAGTCAGACATGACTTAACGACTGAACAACAACAACAAAAGCAGGTTTTGTTGATTGCCAGTCAACAAAGAAGGAACTAAGGAGTCAGCAATGTAATACCCATAGATATAATGCTGGCCAGAGCAATCCCAGGTGAGGTCCACAAGACTCTTCCTCCCCAAAGTAAAGTAAAGTATCATATGATTCCAGAGTTTCTGAGAATGTTGAGGATTTTGTTTAGGTTTTTGATACCTGCTGCCTAGAAAGATTGCCGACTCCTAAACTCCTCTTTAGGGTTTTTTTTCCCCCTCCTGTTGTACGCTAGTAAGAAGAATGCTGAGATTTTCCAGTTTTTAAATCCTTGCTAGGTTTGATCAGTTGAAAAAGTTTTAAGATGATAGACAAATTCTTGTCTGTCTGAAGGAGGAGAGTGGGGGATTTGAATAAATGGTGAGGCTCTTTGGGAAGTTGCCATACTTTCCAGGCTCATTTCAAGCTTTTGTTCCTCTTTCCTTACCAGGTATCTGTGGATGTAAAACCTGGCATCCTTTTTACCTCCTAATCTTTTCCTTCCTCTTCTAGTTAAAGAGGTGCCTAGCTCTGCCACCAAAGAAGCCAGTAGGACTGTAGAAGTTATGGGGCCCTCAGACTTGGTCAAACAGACTAGCAAAGGTTTGTTTCTTTTGTCTTTCTGAGCTTTTTGCTTGTTACTTTTAATGTCAGACTGGGGTTGTTTTGCATATTTTATATGGTATATTGTATTTTATGTATTGCTGCTTTTTTTAAATTGTGAGCTACACAGAATCTTTTTAAAGTCAGGCAGTGTCTAAATCTAATGAACTAAATAGTTAATTAATAAAATCACAGAGCTCACTAGATGACTTTAAGCCAGCTGCTTTGTCTCAGTGTAACCTACATTACAGAATTGTTCTGGGGATAAATGAAGGAAGACGTGACTCCCCCCCCCCCCGCTTTATGATGTCACCTTGCTCATTCAAAAAGGTGGGGTATAAATACAAAATTAAATAATTCTTGCTAAATAAAAAATCTTACCAGATGCATATAACATAGTTGGCCACCTGAAACAATGCCATCTGGATTTGTAGGACTACAGCTCCCATAATCCCATAATTCTCAGCCAATATACTCCTGTTTTATGTTAGAGAGCACCAAATTTGAGAAGGCTAACAGAACTTGGAGATTAATACTAAAAATGCTTTTCAAGATCTAGGTTTTGAGTTCTTAACTCTGCAATTGTGCTGTTCTAGGTCTCCAAAATGAACAGAAGAGGAATCAGCTTGAGGAACTGAGGAAGTTTGGAGCCCAGTTTAAGGTGAGAATATTCTTATTCCTGCTCCCCTTCACTTAAGAGGGAGAAAAACATTGTACATGAGCACTTTTAAAGTAGAAACATGGGATAAAAGTAGTTTCTCTGGCTACAGTTGCTTACCCCATACTTCTTCTTAGTTACAGCCCAGCTCCTCTCCAGAGGCCACACATGACCCCTTTCGGCCTAAGGAGTCTCTTGAAGGGAAAGTAAAAGACAAACTTCCAGAGGTGTTGGTTGGGACAGGGGGCTCGTGTGAAGTGCCTGAAGAGCCTCCCAAACCCAGCCTGGAGTTCTGCGAAGGCAGCAGCAAGGAGGAGAAAGGGTCCTCTGAGGGCATGGAACGCCAGACCCAGACAGCCAGTCCTCTGGGTAAAGGGGAAGCAGAGGACAAGGAAGATGGCCCTGTCTCAGAGTGAGTCTGGGGGGAACCAGAGCAGATAAGGCTTCTGCATGTTTCTTGTATGTTCCTATCTCATTTCCATTGTACTCCTATACAGGCAGGTGAAGAAGTCAACGCTGAATCCTAATGCAAAAGAATTCAACCCCTCAAAGACTCTTCTTTCTGTGGTGCGTAGCTAGCTCTGGGGCTAGTGTGATTTGATGGCATGGGTGTTTGGACGAGAGCACATTCAGCTGAGATCTCTTACTGCTTTCATGGTCAAATACCTAATAATTGCCTTTTTTCCAGAACAAATCAACAAGTACGCCAACATCACCGGGGCCACGCACCCATTCTACACCCTCAATCCCAGTGATTACACCAGGGCAAAGTGGCATGTACAGCACACAGTATATTTCTTACATCCCACAGATTCACATGAGCCCAGCTGTGCAGGTGAGTTGGGGGGGATGGTGTGTGAACGGTCCTGCCTTCACACTGTAGGATGCATTATATATTATTAGTTCTTTCCAAAGTATATCAGGTATATTAATAAGGATACTATTAGAATTAATTAGTTGCTGCTGTTCTCTGCAGACACCTCAGATGTACCCCTATCCTGTTTCCAATTCTGTGCCTGGACAGCAGGGGAAATACCGAGCTAAAGGTGAGTAGATGCTTGGTTAGAGGCTGGAAGATCATAGGAAATTTTGTCTGGAGTGCTCAACTGTTCTGCTACTTGGAGAAAACACAGGGGTGTAAATGACTTTCCTTAACGATTTCTTTTTCCTGAACAGGGTCTCTACCCCCCCAACGTTCAGACCAGCACCAGCCAACCTCAGCTCCTCCCATTATGCAAGCAGCAGCAGCTGCTGCAGGGCCCCCTCTGGTAGCTGCTACCCCATACTCCTCATATATCTCCTACAATCCCCAGCAGTTCACAGGACAGCCTACTATGATGCAGCCTATGGCCCATTATCCCTCGCAGGTGGGTACAATAAATATTTAAGGGGAAAAAAATATGTGCACTGATCTGTTTTGCTCATGTCTTCTATTTTTTCCCTTCCCTCTAGCCTGTGTTTGCCCCCATGCTACAGAGCAACCCCCGTATGATGACATCTGGCAGCCACCCCCAGGCTATCGTCTCATCATCTACTCCACAGTATCCCCCAGCAGAACAACCTACACCCCAAACTCTTTATGGTATGTTTATTGTTAGCTGAAGTCATGTTCACTCTGAGCTTTCTTTCTTTCTTTCTCCCCCCACGTGGCATTGCTGACCGCTGCTTGCTGCTTCTCTCCCCAGCCACAGTGCATCAGTCGTATCCCCATCATGCCACACAGCTGCATCCGCATCAGCCTCAACCAGCTACCACGCCCACGGGCAACCAGCAGCAAACACAACATGCCGCCCCCAGCCCTGTGCAGGTACTCGGAGGGAGGGGGAAGAACCAAGTACGGGTTTACTCTGTAGGAGACACATAATGCTTGTTTGGCACTCACACCCTGCTGTTTGGTTTTGTGTTGGAAATTGGTCCTAGTGCCCCATGACCCTGGAAGCTCTAGGAATTCTAGGCTGGCATGAAAAGGGATGGAAGGAATCTTGCTTTCAGAGTGAGATTCTGTCTATCTCAGTTCTTGTAACTGCTGCCTATGGAATTGAAGCACTAGGAACAGACTATTAATCCTCGCATGCTGTTATCTGGGGGGGAAGGTAATCTAGGAATTAAACAAGATACTTTGTAACTACTTTGATTTGGGTGTTAATACAAGACACGTTTGGGGGAGAGTATGCAGATGTTATGTGAATAATTTGAAGTGTATGACAACATGATAAATGAATCAGAGGATTAGAGAATGTAAACTCTTTCCTCACTTATATTATGGTTATATGACGTGAAAGAGATCAGAGAACAGGAAGGCTAATTTAATAAAATAATTTAATAACATTAAAACAAATTTTCCCCATTCTTCCCACAGATGAACATGTGCTAGCCTGAGTTTAAAACATGTTCTTTTTTTCTCCATAAAATACCAAATTTATTCTTTGGCAATAGTATAGAAGAAAGAAGTAGATGTAATGCAAACTCTGGTAGTTAAAAGGTTGTGCTTTCTACTATAGCACCAAGCTGGACAGCCACCTCATTTGGCCAGTGCTCAGCAGCAGCAGAACCTATACCACACAGCTACGCTGACAGCTACACCACCATCCATAACACCAGGGCCCAGCGCTCAGTCTCCACAGAGCGGTTTCCCACAGCAGGCAGTTTATGCCATTCATGCCCATCAGCAGCTGCAGCACGGATACACCAACATGGCCCATGTCACTCAGGTGAGTGTGCCTGACTCTGGGAAGGGAGCAGGGACTGCGATCTTGGTCATGGGAGGAATTTCTAAGTATCTGTCCTCATAACTATTCAGAGTGGTGTTTGACAACCCAGGAGATGGATGTGACCAATAAGATTATTTGTGACAACGTATGAGAAAAAATGGAAGGGAAGTGACTTTGTCTATTTCATTACATACTAGGATTGCTTGGAAAAAATCTTAGAAGTCATCAACTGTGTACTAAACAAAGTTTGAGCGAAGGTTGTCAGGGTTAGTGAAGATGGTGAACAGTAACAGCAATTGTTTCATGAATTCCATTATTATTAAACATTCTTTAAACAGTTCCTGGAATTAGGTTAAATGCCTCATCTAAATTTCAGCTCCATGAGTTAAGTCAATCACTAAATATATGTTCTTAAATTAGAAAATTTGGCTTTTTCTCTGCTAGCCTAATCAGTTGGTAAATTGGCAAATCATTTATTAAAATGGTCTGAAACTGTTTTTGTCCACTGACAGGCCCATGTCCAGACTGGAATTGCAGCTGCCCCACCACCTCACCCTGGAGCTCCACAAGTCATGCTACTGCATCCCTCACAGACTCATGGTGGACCCCCTCAAGGAGGTGTGCCCCAGAGTGGTGTGCCCACCCTTTCCGCCTCCACACCATCCCCCTACACGTACATAGGGCACCACCAAGGTAAATCAGTTATTTAAAGCCAGGGGGTGGGGGGAAGGTGGATTAATAGGACAGATGAGCTTCCCAGTGTATAGGACTGAAAAATGCTGTCATCCCCATCCAGCACGTCCATCTGGGTGGAAATTAGAGAAATTGTAGTCAGCATATCTGATTAGGATAAATTGACTACTCTGAAGGATTGACTGAGCATTGATGGATATTGGGTAGGGTTTGTTTCTGCAGGTGACAGATATGCTGTTTTGGACTTTGGTGTGCCTTTGTGGTCCTCACTGCCTCTTTCTTCTCTTTCCAGTTCAGTCTCATCCCTCCCAGCAGCTTCCATTCCACACCCCTGGGAATTGATGTCCACGCTTCTCCCTGTGACCTGAGACCCCAGCCAGCTATGGCTCTGTTGCTGGCCCCCAAGCCTGGGCCATCCCTTGTGCCCATGGCAGAGGCCCCTGAAGGGATGCAGTCTGGCCCAGCCCCTCTCGGCAAGCACCTTCCTTTCCGTTGGTTTAGTGAAGCCTGCCCAGGGTACTGTTGGCCAGCGGGATGGAGCAAGACCCCTTTCCATTGCCCAGAGAAGGGCAGGGTTTATTTTCTGTTATTTATAACTCCATTGGGGTTCCTAGAGCAAATGCCACTTTCCCACATTAACTTGACAAGGACATGACCATATGGACAAATCTTGACTTTTTATTAAGTAAAAATATTTAAAAAGTAAAAAAAAATAAAATTTTAAACTAACTAATGTTGGGCTTGGGGTGAATGTGTGGGAGGGCCAGTTTGTAAACAGTAATCCTTATTTGTGGTTCTGCAGCATCAGGGAGGAAGACTTTGTGATCTTTCCATCATATGTAGCTCAGCCAGACTTGAAGGACTGTTTTTGACTTCAGCATTACTGTCTAGCAGCATTATAATTTTCCCTCTCTGAAAATAGATCACCAAGGATTAGTAGTGAGTGATAGTGAAACAGATCCTAAAGCAGTAGTTTTTAGTGCTGGGGTTACTCTGTGAATACAGTATACACCAAATTAAAATTTTAATCAATGCTTTTATTGGAATCAATGACACCATGTTAAATTTAAGAACTTTGGGGATGGGCAGAAATAGCATATTTGTGCCATACTTCAGATTGGACTCTGCATCCAGCCCAGCCTTGGCAGGAGTCTTGGGTACTATTGTCGGTTTTTTTCAGAGAAGTTATAAAACAGAAAACAAGGATGATGGTGTAGAGACCATTTTGAATCACTTAAAAGCCCCAGTTTTATGCCTCAGCCAGTCACCATCTGAGAATTGTTTTAAAATGAGTGCAAGTTAAGTTCAGTGTTGTGGACCATGAGCTTTTCACTGCTCTTCAATGAAATCCAGTTTTCATTTGTCAACCTGCTTGCAGTGTCATAGTCTTGCTTTGATCCTAACTAGTCAATGTTGAGGTATAAGGGATCTGACATTTTATTTAGGAACCATACAACTGTAATCTGAATCAATGGCTAGAGCAGTGATGGAACAAATTCCTACCATTGCAAACAGAGGGTTTTTGAATGGAAAATTAACAATGGAATATTT